AAAAAAAAAAAAAAAAAAAAAGGAATGGATTGGTTTAGGGAGAGGAGATGTGGGGTTGAAAATAAACCACTCTGTTAGCCGTCTTTCCTATTCCAGGCTTAGGAATGTGCCCTTTTGGTTCTACCTTTTCTGACTTTCTCAAGTCCTTGCCTTTTCCCAATCATATTCTCATCCGAGCTCTGAAGTCACCTTTATGTTGACTTTGTTATAAACTAATTTGATTCTTTTCTCTCTCTGCCCTTGACAGCATCTGTGGAACCCTCCATTCTGTGGATCAGGTGAGATATAGCAAGGACTCAGAATTGGTTCCTGGGGATGGAGAGGGGAGAGCTTAAGGGTTGGGTACTTATATCTCTAGGGTTAATAATGGTGTTTTTATTCCTTTCTTAGTATCTCAACATCAAACTAACTGACATCAGTGTCACAGACCCTGAAAAATATCCTCACATGGTGAGTTGGGGTCTATGGAGAAAAGGAAACACCTCTAAGGCAGGAGGTCCCTGGGTGGTTAGAGGACATTTTTAAGGGTGTTTTCACATTTGTCCATCTTTGTCTAGCTATCAGTGAAGAACTGCTTCATTCGGGGTTCAGTGGTCCGATACGTGCAGTTGCCAGCAGACGAGGTCGACACACAGTTGCTGCAGGATGCAGCAAGGAAGGAAGCCCTGCAGCAGAAACAGTGATAGTCCTCCTCCTCTTCCCCTCCCTCCGTCATTGGTGACCCAGAACCCCAAGTCCCAGCCAAGCACCCCTAACTCCCAATACATAAGGGTTTTGTTTGTTTGTTTGTTTCTACTAATGATGGTTTTGTGGGTTTTTTAAAGGGATGAGTGGATGAGAGGAATAATAGGGAACAGCTATCCTCTGTTGAGAAAGGGAGGATAAGTAGGCTGGGAAACTTCAAAGCCTTCCCAGTCCCCAGCACCTGCCTTTCTTACTACTTCCCTGGAGATGGTAGGAGAGTTTCCTAAGTATTTCCAGGGCAGCATGTGATTCATTTGGGCATGGAAGGAATCTGTCCCGCATCGGGAATAAAATTTATGATGCAAATTCATGATCTGGTTCTGTACTGTGTTTGGGGCTGGGTGCTGGGAGGTGGAAAAGGAGGTTGAATTCATCCAGGCCCCTGTTACTCTCTGTTAACCCAGCCAAGAATCCAACTCAGCTTCCCACTACTCTCCCTGGTATAAAGCATATAATAACAATTGCACTACACCACATTTCTCCAACATGCCCCTGCCTGCATGTTCTCCCTTTGGTGTTTTGCTTATACCATACTGGCAACTGGAGTGCTTGCTGTCCTTCCATTAATGTGACAATGTTACAAGATGCATTTCATGCTACTGGACTTCACCAATCCAACCAAATCAGGACATGTTTTCTGAATATCTATAGAAGATAAATACAAACAAGGGATGTAATTTATATTTTGGAGAAAAGTTATGACTGGCAATTACTAAACTTCACTCATTCAACAAATATGAGTTCGTGATGCAGATGAGACTTCTCAGCCTTAAGGGACCCTTAGAGACCGTCTAGCGTGACCCTCATTTTTTTTTTTTTTTTTTTTTTTTTAATTTTAAACAGAGTCTTGCTCTGTAGCCCGGGGTGGAGTGCAGTAGCGCAGTATGGCTCATTGCAACCTCCTCCCAGATTCAAGCAGTTCTGCCTCAGCTGCCAAGTAGCTGGGATTACAGATGCCCACCCACCAGGCCTGGCTAATTTTTGTATTTATTTATTTTTTTGAGTTGGAGTCTCACTTTGTCGTCCAGGCTGGAGTGCAGTGGTGTGATCTAAGCTCACTGCAATCTCAGCCTCCTAGGTTCAAGTGATTCTCTTGCTTCAGCCTCCCAAGTAGCTGGGATTACAGGTGTGTGCCACCACACCCGGCTAATTTTTGTATTTTTAGTAGAGACAGTTCACCATGTTGGCCAGGCTGGTCTCGAACTTCTGACCTCAAGTGATCGGCCTGCCTCAGCCTCCCAAAGTGCTAGGATTACAGGCTTGAGCCACCGCGCCCGGCTAATTTTTGTATTTTTTAGTACAGACGGGGTTTCACCATGTTGGCCAGGCTGGACTCGAACTCCTCAAAGGCGTCCGCCCACGTAGGCCTCCAAAAGTGCTGGGATTATAGACGTCAGCCACCGCGCCCGGCCATGACCCCTTTTTCATACATGAGGAAGCTGGACGCTAGGGCCTTGGAAGATGGACCTCCCCTTTGGTCATCAGGCGGCTCCCTCATGGGTGGGCTCGTCCGGCTACCCGCTGGGAACGCCTCCCCCTGCCGGCCGGCCGACCCTCTCAGGCCAGTTCCCTGGCTGCCCGCTGGGCGCCGCCCTCGCCGCCCGGTCCGAGGACCCGCACAAGGTGCCCGTGGCAGCGCCTGACGGGAGCGTGGTGCCCACGGGCGTCCTGTAGTCTTGCGCCCGCGCCCAGAGCCCCGCGCCCGCGCTGTTCCTCGTGAGCGCGGCGGGTGGTGGGCGGCACGGTCTCCGGGACAGCGTCGGGCAAGGCGGAGCGCGCACACGCAGGCGGGGCACGGCCGCCCCCGCCAGGACCCGCGGGCCCGGAAACGCTGCCTGTCACAAAGGGGGGAACACGTGGGCGCCGGCTGCCCGGGCGGCGGTCTCAGGGAGCTAGGGTCACCCGGAGAGCCGCCCATCTGTCTCTGCCCGCCCGACTTTTCCGCCCCGGCCGCTTGGCCGGTCCAGCCGCGGCCGGCGCCTGCCTGTGAGGTGGATTCCCGGCCCAGTCTGACCATCTCCCTCCAGTACGTACACGCGGCTCGAACCCGTGTCCAACCGGACGCCGACCCGCTCCTGAGAGCCTTCCACACTCCCGAAGCCCCGCGATCACGGGTAGTCCCCCACGTCCCTCTTCCCCAGGTGCTCCCCACTGTTAGTGCCCGTCTTGAGAGCCAGGTCCTCGGCTCCTTACTCCCTGCCTGGTCAGACCCTTAGTCCTGGGGGACTCGGGTGTCTGTGGCGGAGGAGCTCCCGTGAGGGTCCCCTGTCTACTCAAATATAGGACCCACCTGGATCCCTCAGTCTTCCCCTGTCTCTCTTTCTCCTTAGGTTTTTCCACTTCATTCGGACACCCTCATAACTATGTCCATCCTCTACGTCTCCCCTCACCCAGATGCCTTCCCCAGCCTCCGAGCCCTCATAGCCGCTCGCTATGGGGAGGCTGGGGAGGGTCCCGGATGGGGAGGAGCCCACCCCCGCATTTGTCTCCAGCCGCCCCCTACTAGCAGGACTCCCTTTCCCCCACCCCGCCTGCCGGCCCTGGAGCAGGGGCCTGGTGGGCTCTGGGTGTGGGGCGCCACGGCTGTGGCCCAGCTGCTGTGGCCAGCAGGCCTGGGGGGCCCAGGGGGCAGCCGGGCGGCTGTTCTTGTCCAACAGTGGGTCAGTTACGCTGACACGGAGCTAATACCAGCTGCCTGTGGGGCAGCGCTGCCAGCCCTGGGACTGCGAAACTTGGCCCAGGACCCCCAGGTGAGGGGGTTGTAGGGAAGAGGGGGAGGGGAGAATTTCAGAGGAGGGAAGTGAGGACTGGAATGGACAATGAGACAAGAAGGTTGCACGTCAGATGTGGAAAAAGAGAGATCAAATCCCAGATTGCCAACTGGCATGGTAACTCGCTGTGTCTTGGTCTTCCTAGGTCTGTGAACGCGCAGGCGAGTTGATGTAATATTTGCCTCACTGAGTTAATAAGATTAAAAGATGTACGCAGAGCGCATTAGTGCCAGGCGCTTTTAAAGTCTCTTAGTAAACGTTTGATGAGTCTGAAATTGAGGAGGATAGAAGTTACTTGAATTGCAGGAAAAGATGGTGAAGGAGAGATGACAATTTCTGAGAGGAGATAAATGAAGTGAGGAAGGGAAGAGAGAGGAGAGATAAGCCTGCCAGATTGTAACTGTCAGTCCTTCCAAAGGAGACCTGTGCCTTGGTGTACTTTCAACTCTGCCTCCTTGCAGGGTGTTGAGCACATGATGAAAAATTAGTATTTCTTGAATGGATGAATGAATGTGACATAGACCCTGACTTGCTCCCTCATACTGTGATCACCCTATCTAAAATCGAGTCCTTGCTTTCAGAATGTTTGTGCAGTCAAACAAATAAAATAAAATAGAGTCCCTCTCTCCTGGATTTCCCTGTTCCCCTTATTCTCTTTTGTTTGTTTGGTTTTTTTTGTTTGTTTTTTGTTTTTTGAGATGGAGTCTCCTGTCTCCCAGGCTGGAGTGCAGTGGTGCAATCCTGGCTCACTGCAACCTCTGCCTCTGGGGTTCAAGCAATTCTCCTGCCTCAGCCTTCTGAGTAGCTGGGATTACAGGTGCCTGCCACCTCACCTGGCTAATTTTTTGTGTTTTTAGTAGAGATGGGGTTTTGCCATATTGACCAGGCTGGTCTCAACTCCTGACCTCAGATGATCTGCCCTCCTCCGCCTCCCAAAGTGCTGGGGTTACAGGCATGAGCCACGGCATCCAGCCCCTATTCCCCTCATTCTGCTTTATTTTTCTTCATAGGAGTTAGGAAAAATAGGATGCTACATTATATATTTGCTTTTATTGTTCCCCCACAAGAATGTGAACTCTGTCAGGTCAGGGCTCTGTTTGTCTGTTCATGTTGTCCTCTCATTCCCTGGAGAAGTACTTAATAAATATTGATTGATGTCCTGAGCCTGGCAGTTATTGAGTTGCCTTATATAATCTTTACTTCTATGTTTAACATATTGCATCTAACACATAATAATAAGTATTGAGTAGGGATTTGTTGGATGAGTCAGAAGTGTTTTCATTACGACTATTTGAGTGAAGAAATGGGACTCAGATGTTGTGATTTGTGGGAGTCGGGTGGAGGGAGGCCAAATGGACTGGGTTGTGGTGGGAGATGGAGGTGGGCTAAACTTTGTCTCATACCCCTTCCCTTTCCTGCCAGGCTGTGCTGGGGGCCCTGGGCAGGGCCCTGAGCCCCTTAGAGGAGTGGCTTCGGCTGCATACCTACTTGGCCGGGGAGGCCCCCACTCTGGCTGACCTGGCGGCCGTCACAGCCTTGCTGCTGCCTTTCCGATACGTGAGTCACCAGGCCTGGGGAAGAACAAGACTGCTCCCCTCAGACCTCTCTGTAGCGTGACTGAGAATAGTCATTTATTTCCTGTTCCAGGTCCTAGACCCACCTGCCCGCCGGATTTGGAATAATGTGACTCGCTGGTTTGTCACATGTGTCCAGCAGCCAGAATTCCGAGCCGTGCTGGGAGAAGTGGTTCTATACTCAGGGGCCAGGCCTCTCTCTCAACAGCCAGGTGAGGAAGGGTGAGGAGCTGGAGGAAAGGGGATTCCCTGGGACCTTCCATGCAACTCACTTTCTTTTTTTCTTGTACATGGCAGAATCACTGGCACAGGGGCCTGCGGGAGAGGAGTGGGAGGGGGAGATCAGTATGGGTGAGACCTTGGGCATCTGAAATAGCCCATCTGAAACCTAGTGGCACCATCCAAGAGGGTCCCTGGCTGGCTGAATCTGAATTTCTGTGCCCCTCTAGGCCCTGAGGCTCCTGCTCTCCCAAAGACAGCTGCTCAGCTCAAGAAAGAGGCAAAGAAACGGGAGAAACTAGAGAAATTCCAACAGAAGCAGAAGATCCAACAGCAGCAGGCACCTCCAGGGGAGGTGAGAGGCAAGGGTGGAGCTGGAAGGAAGGCTGGTGTGTGCGGTGGTGGGGTGGCTGATGCCTGGGCCTGTGTCTTCTCCCTCCCAAGCAGAAGAAACCGAAACCGGAGAAGAGGGAGAAGCGGGATCCTGGGGTCATTACCTACGACCTCCCAACCCCACCTGGGGAAAAGAAAGGTACTAGGAGTGGGAAGGGGCTCACCCCTCAGCTGCTCCTTTCAAGTTTTCACCCCATCCTGCTCTATTCTTGCTCTCACCACTTGGTTTGGTGAGGATTTGCAGACCCCTGCCCCCCCCCGAAGGCCCCTCAAATGCCTGTCCTATGATGTGAGCGACAGAGATCCTGATCCTTCTCTAGTGGCACACCCCTTTCCCAGTCTCCCAGCCACGGCACTGAGCTCTCCCTCTCTCTCCCCCAGATGTCAGTGGCCCCATGCCTGACTCCTACAGCCCTCGGTATGTGGAAGCTGCCTGGTACCCTTGGTGGGAGCAGCAGGGCTTCTTCAAGCCAGAGTATGGGGTGAGTGGGCACTGCTGCCCAGACCCAGAGTGGGTGGGGTGGGGCAGGACTGAAGTATATGTTGCCTGGGAGGCGCTGGGAGAGGTGACCTGAGGCCTTAAACGTGCCATCCTTCTCCACCATCAGCGTCCTAATGTGTCAGCAGCAAATCCTCGAGGTGTCTTCATGATGTGCATCCCACCCCCCAACGTGACAGGCTCCCTGCACCTGGGCCATGCACTCACCAACGCCATCCAGGACTCCCTGACTCGATGGTGAGCTCCTGTCTGCACCTCCCACTGGTTCCCTCTGACTCCTCTGGCTCTCTTCTGTTCCTGACAGCCCTCCTGCCTCTCTCCTTCTGGGTTGGTGCTCACCTCTGCCCCCCAGTGGCGCTACACCGCTCTCCATCATTCCCACCTGATCATTTAGCATCCTCTCCTAGTCCAGTACTCCCGCGCAACACCACCACTTGCAGACTTTCTTCTCTCCCTTCTTTCTTTCTTTAATTTAAATTTCATTTCATTTCATTTTTTGTAGAGACAGGTTTTCACTTTTTTGCTCAGTCTGGTCTCCAACTCCTGGGCTCAAGCGATTCTCCTGCCTCGGCCTCCCAGAGTGCTGGAATTAAAGGCATCAGGCTCCACACCCAGCCTCTCTCTTCTTTTTCTAGTAACAATAGCATTATTTTGAATTTAACTAGAACTATATGAATATATATGTATGTGTGTATCTATATATACACACACACGCGTATACATATATGTATGTGTATATACATACATATATATATATATATATATTTTTTTTTTTTTGGAGACAGAGTCTCGCTTTGTCACCCAAGCTAGAGTGCAGTGGTGTGATCTCAGCTCATGGCAACCTCCACCTCCTGGGTTCAAGCAATTCTCCTGCCTCAGCCTCCTGAGTAGCTGGCCAAAATATATGAATACACACACACACACACACACATTGTGTTTGTTTGTTTTGAGATGGAGACTCCCTCTATCCCTCAGGCTGGAGTGCAGTAGCTCGAGCTCAGCTCACTGCAACATCTGCCTTCAAACAATTCTCTTGCCTCAGCCTCCCAAGTAGCTGGGATTACAGGCACTTGCCACTGCACCCGGCTAATTTTTATATTTTTAGTAGAGATGGAGTTTCACCATGTTGGCCAGGCTGGTCTCAGACTCCTGACCTCAAGCGATCTGCCCTCCTCAGCCTCTCAAAGTGCTGGGACCGCAGGCGTGAGCTACCGCTCCCGGCCTGGAGTAACTTTTTAATTAATGGTTCTTTCTGATTTCTTTTCTGTTGAAACCCTTGCTTGAATGCAAATCCCTGTACATCAAGCTTGTCCAACCTGCAGCCTATAAGCCACATGTAGCCCAGGACAGCTTTGAATGCAGCCCAACACAAATTTGTAAACTTCCTTAAAACAGTTTACGTTTTTTTTGCAATTTTTTTTTAGCTCATCAGCTATCGTTTGTGTTAGTGTATTTTATATGTGGTCCAAGACAGTTCTTCCATGTGACCCAGGGAAACCAAAAGACTGGTCACCCCTGCTGTGCATGCTTGCTCAAGCATGTGTGGAAGGGTTTCACTGGCATAGCTATCAAGAAGTGAAACTGCTAGGTCAGCAGGGGCACACCTATATTAAGTATGAACGGAAGCTGCCAAGTTGCCCTGCAGAACGGCTTTGCTGATTGATACGTCCATGAATTGCATGTGAGGGTATTCATTTCCCTGTCCTTGCCAAGCCTGAGCATTAGGGTTGCCTAATTAGTTTTGCCAATCTGATGGGTTAAAAAAAATGATTTGTACTTTTCTGATCACTATTGAAGTTGTGCCTATTTTCATGTTTCTTGGTCAGTCAGGTTTACCTGTATGTAAATTGTCTGTACCTATCTTTTGCCTGTTTTTCTATTGATTTTTTTTTCATGCTTGCCTATATGCAGAGTTTTTCTTTTTCTTTTTTTTTTTTTGAGA